TTGGCGTCTGGATGAAACAGATACCTGGGCGGCATTGCACAGTAGAAATGTGCTACTGAGCTCCGTGCCCATACCAAGCCCAACGATGAGAAACTAACCCGTCCTTATCAAGTGACGCAGGTACATTTTCTAACCTTCCTTTAGCCAGTAGAAACAAAACAGGCCACGCATCAACACTCATGTCGCGCACTACTACCGTCAAGAGTTGCCCCTCAAGCTGCACACCAGGGATCACGAGTCGACTACACTAAAGGAGAGCCATACTTGGGAGGACGACGACCAAGATTGTTGGGGATGCTCCCTCGTGGACAGCAGGATTCGGGAGCCAAGAAGAAAGATTGCTGAGAAGCTTTGTACGTTGGTTTTCTTCATGGGACATCTGAACTGACAGTGAAAAAATGCCGAAGCTTCGGTACCCTAAATGATCACTTACATATCTTAGTTTTGGCTGGAGGCAAGACATGGTCACAGACATTTTACACCCTCAAACATCCCTAAGCCCTGTCCCAAACTTAAAAGATCCTGAGGTTTCATCCGCAAAGCTGCTCGGGTTCGCTGTACCGCTCCAGCAGCTCCTTCCACCCCTGGCAGTTCAGACTGCAACCACCCAATGGGCAAATCCATGCTGTCGGCGGAAACTCCTTCAATCAAGCAACCGTCCGATCTACCGAAACCAGGCAGTCAGAAGTGGTGAGCTGGCGTCCATTTGTGAGCTTACAGTTTACTCTGAAAAGTTGCCCGGACCTGCATATGTGCAAAGTGCACATGGAGTTTCCGCCCACTCCTGAGATTGCCCATCAGGGTGCACAGAACGGACATAGGCTCCGGGCGGATAGGAGCGGAGCGAAGCGCTGCCGGAAGACTTTGCTGCTCCGATACCCATTCCGATCTTCTTCAACTTGCTCTTGAACCTGGAAGCAGCGAGACAAGTTCATTGCTGTCACCTCAAGACCATCTAGGTAGGGCTTGATGCCGACGAAACTTCTTGCAGATGGACAAGAAGTGCAACCCATCCGGCCTGAGCACATCCGAGGGATGCCGGAAGTCAAGGAAGACGTATCCGCAAGAGCGCCTGGCACCCCACAGGCATCAGACACTGTCGGTACTGCATGGGGCTCGGGAGTTTACCCGAGCATCCTTGAACCACAACGTGAGGGTTTTGTGAGACCAGGGTGGCACGGCTGTGCCGGATGTTACACGAGGCTCAGTCGTGCCTGGTGTCGCCGCCCAGGTGCGTACGTACATTCATACATACATGCAGACATACATAATTTCACCATTGCGGAAGATCAAGCTTCGGCTAATGAAGTTGAGGACAAGTCTCTTGGACCCGGCTTCAACTGTACGACATTTCGTACATCCTCTCGAACTCACTCCGAACTCCGGCACGAATGCCCAAAAGCGAGGTCCGGTCACTGGCATCTGGTATAAAAGAACAAGTACATGTCTCCTTCAACGCCCTCAAGTCGTGCATGGTGCACAACCTGTGCTTTCTCACCATCATCGGCTAAGTAGAATTCATCATTGCCAACATCATAAAGAAGCGCCATGTAGTGATGCCCTATTTCAACCAGTCAGGCTCAGCAAGGGTTTGTGTTTTCCACCATTCAGAGTCGACAAGAACGTGGCTCCACGCCCAGGCGACCTTGCAGAGAGGACACTCCTTGACCCTCCAGCTTTGTCGTGGGCCAGGGCTCCTTGCCAGACCGCTTGCTCAAGGAGTTGCCTCCCAACGTGCCGGTCTCGGCCTAGCCGAAAGCTGGGGCAGCCCACCTTTTTGTGTACCTCCTGCTGCCGGGCGGTTTCCACCGTGGCCTTAAGCTTGCTGTTGTAGCTGTTGCCGTGGGGGTCCACCCATCCGTAGGGCCCATGGGTTTGACACAGCAACAACAACAAAAACAACAAAAACATCCGCCCATGCTCAGTGAGAGCCCAGCTTTCAGGCAGCTGCTGGCCTTTTAGCCTTGTCCACCGGCATGTAGAAAAAGTTGATGTAGTCCAGGATATTGTGGAGCTGAAGCTGCTCAAGGAAAGTGATGGCACTGCAATCCTGGCGGAATCTGGAATGAAGTGCGTGATGTACCCTCATGCGCACAGCAGCAGGCTGAACCCTGCACCTTAAACCTCCACGGGCCTCCAACCCTACAATCGCCTTCCCGGCCTTGGGAACTTGGCCCACAATGATGGAGCTCCTGGTTTCCTCCCAAAGTGATGTTTAGCTTGCTGCGAATGCTGGAGGATCTTCAAAGCGAAATGACATTCCGGCCTGACCGCTAGCAAGGCACGTGTCGTCGACATTAAACGAATCTGGTGCAGAAAGTTTTCTGTCAGCCTTAGCGCAATTGATAGATTTTCGCATGAAAACATCTTTTCGTCACGACGACTCCGGAGATTATTCAAGCTCGCAAAGACAAGGTGTGAGAAAGCGAACAGCTCGAACCTGCGACTACTTCTCCAAAGGAGGCCCTGCAATCCATCCTTGCATGGACGACTCCAACATGGCTGGGGTTGCACGATGGAACGGTACTCTCAAAGTTAGACAGCTCGACTGGCACGCGCACTCCGAGCACACACATGCACTCTCGCAGCCATCATCCGGGTCAGCAATCCCCTACACCCGAACCCTAAACCATCCTACACCCTGAAACCCTGAACATCCCTCAACCCTAAAGCGTGTCTAAGCGCAGTCAGATCGCTCCAGCGGGAGCTGCACGCTCAGGAACTGAAACAGCAGATCCAAAAAGAAAGGCAGAGTCGGCGTTAGCGCTGTCGCTCTTCAAGCCAAGGAGACCTCGATGGCCTGTCAGGGGTCGAGTGGCGGAGAAGATGCGAACCCAGTTTCACGAAGATTCTCAGCTTCAGCAACAACTACCACAGCCACTCCACGACGACGACGACGACGACGACGACTGCCAGTCCACAACTGCTGCTACTGCTGCAACTACGCCGACGACTACAGCCTGAGACTACGATTAGGACTACGACTATCTTGGATACCTTTCTACCCACCACCACCACCACCACCACCACTCCACCACCCCTGGTGCTGCTTCTACTCCTCCTACCTCCGCTGTTCATACTACCTACGCTGCTTGCACTGCAATTTCTGCTAATCCTGTCAGCAACAGTAAACCCCAAATTCCCCACCATCAACCGCGTATACTCTATATCCCAAACTCAAACCTCCTAATACAACCCTGCAAGCCCGAATCCCAGATGTTCTGGAGAGTGCAACGCCCTGGTGGTATGCATTTCTGCTCTGAACATCCTAGACCCTGAACGGCCCCAAACCCCGTGTAGAAGATTTGCCGGATCCTAAACCCTAAACCCGAGAAAGAAACCCTTCTGGAACCCTAGCCAAGAAGCTTTCGATGTGGTGGCAGAGTGCTCGGGCAGCGGCTTCTTCAAAGAATTGAACTTCCACCTGTAAAAGGCAAAGTTTGGTGCCTTCTTTGCAGCTGCTCTGGAGATGCTGAAGGCTGCGTTTAAGGATTCTTGTCTTGCTTCTATGGTTTGAGCATGGTTTTGGGGCTCCTGATCATGTTGAATGGTTGTTTAGGGTGTTTGTTTCTATGCTGGTTTCCAGGATCTCTGAGGGAGTCCTGCACTCTAGTGTTTAGATGCTCCTTGCGTGTGCTGGATTTTAAGGTTTTCGTTTTTTGATAAGGCTTCGGTTGGTTAATGTCTATCTATGATGGTTTTTGCATGCTTCGCATTTTCAGGGTCTTTGGTCGCTCTTTTCCGGCAGTGTAGAGCACGCAGGGTGTTGGGCGTTGAAAATTGTTACAGGGTTTGAGGCGGGCTCAAGAAAGTTTATTGCATTTACAGTTGTTGCGTCGTGTTGATGTTTTTCTAGTGTTCAAGGTGTTGAGGTTGCTTGAGGTTTTGAAGGCGTTTAGAATGTTCAGGGCTGTAGGGTGTTTAGGGTTTTCGATGGCTTGCAAGAAGTTTTAGGGGGCTGTTCGGCTTAAGGTCGTTGACTGTTCTCAATGGTGCCCATGGGTTTGGCGTGTTGGTTCCTGACCCTGGTGTTTAGGGTGTCCACGGAGTTTAAACGTTTTCAGGTGTAGGGTGTTTTTAAGTACGTTCAGGGGGCCGTGCCGGCTTTGCAGGTGGTTTAAAGCTTCTCGCCTGCTTGGGGTTCTAGGCTAGCGTTTGGGGCCTAGGGGTGCCCCGGTTGTCTTTTTGGGGGTCCTCGTGGCCTTTTCGGTAGGGTGTTCAAGGGCTTCAATGCGAAAAAGATGCACGTTTCTGGGAGTTGTCGGGAGCTTAGAGTGTGTAGGTCAGTGTAGGTTCTTTACGTTGTTTAGGGTTCTCGTGGTTGCGCGCCAAGACACATCTGCAAATCTTCGCATTCCGCCGGGACTCTGGGCTTACACAAGGAAAGTAATCTCAAGTGCTTCGGGATCTTCGCGGACTATGGAAGTGCCGGCTGTGCCAACAGGTACAACATTTGAGGAAGTATAAATTTCCAGAAAAGGCTTGTGTCTGAGACATCCAAGTGACGGTGCCGTCCACTCTGCATCTTTGAACATTCAGCGATCGGATCTCGCCAAATGTGGAGAAGACCATCGAATATGATACCTTGTTCTGAACTACCACGTAAATTAGCAAGGCACGGATGGTCAGAAATATCGTTAGGCGGTGTTAGGCGTTGCTGTAGCAGCCGGCAAACCATGAAAAGCAGTCCTACACTATGTCTCTGTCATCTCTCGTCCCTGCCCCGGACTGCTGGTGCATTGACGTGTATTTCACAGCCACCGAAATCTACATTGTCCGGCCGTCGAAGCTGCGAGGGAAATGCTTGCGGCAACTTCTGCAGTCAGTTGAATGTGGACCACGTACCCGAGGTTGTAGGAGCTGATCGCCATTGCCATGCCATTAATCACTACAAGGGAACAGTCTGACAAGGGGTACAACGGGGCAAGAACTGCCCTTGCCTTTCGAGCATAACCACATGAAACATGCAGTCCGCGGTCCTAATGGCAAACATCGATGGCTTAAAGATGTCTGAACATCACAACACGGCACTGCTGAAACACGAGTCCCCGGCGAGCATCGAGGTGACAAAGGGATCGCATGACACAGCGGTCAATAAAAATGCTGCCATCCAGGACGTCCGCAGCCTGGCAAACATCTTCTCACTGCGAAGACACGCTCCTGCAGCTCCATACAGCTCCCAGAACTCCACCCTGAGACGTGCCTAAACTGTCCTGAAACCTAAATACCGGCTTCTCCACAGGCTGCATGAGCCCCGGCCTGCTGAAAGAGCCGTGCCTGCCAGCCCCGAGCAACGAAGTCCACAGCGCTTCCCGAAGGGTCAAAGCCTTCACTAGAAGGCGAAGATTCGAGGACTTGGGGGGGCCCTGAAATCAGGTTTAAGAGTTTCGGGCTTGGGGGTGCCTCGGGTAGAGCTCAAGGGCTTCTGGAATCCCGGCCTGAAACTTGAACTTCATTGTACCGCTCGACCAGGGCCCGATAGCCTGCTCGGCTCGGATCTTCCGATGCTAAACATAGCAACACCAGAGTCACAATACTGATAACTTTAGTGACTTTCATGAGTAGCAACTGTAGTACCGAGAATAACAAGCTGCAGCAAGCTCTTCTTCTGAAAGCGGGCAGCTCACAGGCACTCTACACATCCTTTGCCGATGCCTGGGACGCTCGGGTCCCTCTCCCAGTACACAGAGGTTGCGTTGGACGCCGGGCGCAGCTGCGGGTTGAACACTGCCTGAAGAGACGGCGACAGAATGCAGCTCGCTGCAAGCAACTCGGGCCAGAATCCCTCGGCCTTGCAGGGGAAGGGTTCCGGCCGTCCCTGCTCCACCTGTCCCGTGCCGTCAGTGCACGCTGTCTCGAGCAAGCAGGACGGCTGGCCTGCTCGGTTTCTGAAAGTGCTTCCACGCCGGCTGGCGGATCCTGACACACAGAACCATTGTGTTGAATGCTCGAAATGAAGCTAGAATTACGGTTACCGTCCTCCAACACGATCAGACGCGATGGCGTCCCGAGGTGGGGTGCTGTCAGAAATCCTCCCTTGAAGGTCCTGCCTCGCCAAAGCTCACAAGGAGTTGCCATCCCAAGCACTATTCCATACTCAGCTGCGCACCAGGCAAGTTGGGTCCACGCATCACTGAAACCTCGCACAGACGCGAAAGCCGCTTGAGGTTCAGGAATTTTTGTGATGGACATTGAGGATGTAGGGTCGAGGAAACGTTCCTATGACCAAGGCTCTCGCCAGCTCCTCTGCCACATTCTGGGATTTCTCTCGCGAGATACGCTCCACCTTCACCTCGTCTCGGCAAAGACGGGAATCTGAGTGGCATATATCCGCCCCACCCTGCGGACTGGTTCCACTTATGTGGCCTGGCCTAGCATGACGAGAACCGAGATCCAAGCAAACTTGGCTGGCTTGCGAATGACCGCCTGGATACAGCAGCATGCAAACCCTCTCTCTCTCTCTATCTCTTTCTTTCGTCAGGGTTGTGGGCAGGGGAAGTTCCCCTACCTCTCTATCTCTCTTTCTTTCGCCAGGGTTAGGGACAGGGGTTGCCCCCTGCCCGCGCGCCGTCGGCGACCCGTACGTTGCCTCTATCTCTCTCTCTCTCTCTCTTTCTCTGTGCACGTGCGCGTGTGCGTGCGTGCGCGTGTGCGTATGTGTTGCAAAAATCTGCACCACACGACACTGCTTTCCTGCCTTGCCCAAAGGTAACACTTTTCGATATGCCGTCGCACTTCCTGGCCTGTCCGGTCCAGTTCCCTGCATGTGTTGCTCCACTGGGCATGACTGGGGCCATCACAGGGACCGAATCGAGTTGGAATAAATCTTGTCCTTGGGCTCCCAAGACCTTGAGACGAAGACACCATCATCGTTCACTCGGACATGTGTCCAGCAATTTCAGCACAGAGCGTGCTTGAGCATGTCTAAACAAGTCAGAACTCCGTTGTTCTCTGGCCAAACTGCTTTCTGGATACTCGTATGCATGTCGGCTTTGTGATCATAATCCAATTGCGAGTTTGTCTGCTCCTGGTGCTTTCTGGCTCCATGCTTGTCAGAGCCGAAGCCACAATGATGATTCTGCTTCCTGGCGACCACCCCCGCGCACGCAAGCAACCAAACCGCAGTAATATCCTCGAGAAGTTCTAACAACCCTGATCAGGGAAGCACTTCTCATGCCTCATGAGAGTCCTCTCTGCACGGGTCACTTGAAACAGGGAGTATGAGGTGCCCAGAGCTGCCAGAAGGGGCGGGCAATGTGAGCTCTGACAAAAGCACAAGCCACTATCGCAATGAGAGCTGTGGAGCCAACCCATCAGATTTCTCGGCGGCCTTGAGCAGCAGTACGCGAGAGCACCAGACACACTCGTGGAACAAACATAGACAATCTGCACAAGGTCACAGTGAGAAACTTTAAGGGAGGTTGAAAGTGTCCATGACGTGATTCCTTACATAAACGAGGTGCAATTCTTGCTCCGTGCAGCTGCTATAAATTTGGAGTGCAGTTGCAGTGGAATGAGATACGTTGCCTACACAATCCAACACACTCCTGCTGGTGCGACAGCCCTTTTTCTCACTAATGTTGCTTTCCAAATCCCATTCTCGCTATCCAAGACACCTAAACACTACACCTGAACCTTACTACCTCCGAAACCCTATACCCGTGGAGCCTGAGCTCTGCAGGGCAGCCGCTGAAGCCGTGGCCGGAGCGAGGGCGAGGGCCCTTTCAAGGAAGAGCTCTAGGTGGAATTGTGCATAATCCCTAAACCTTAAATCCATAAGCGAGTGGCGACAAGCACTAATATTGTCATGCACACGAAATGGAATCTCATCAACGATGAAGACAAAAGTAAGAAAACAAAAGCCGTGCTCATTGTGCCATTGAAGAACAAGCTCGGTGACGAAGCAATGTAAACATCTTCATGGCTATGATATGCACAAAACCGACTACTTTATCCGTGACTAGTAACCCGAAGCAGCAACAAACGCAATGACAACAGCAGAGCATGACACCAAGAACGGCTGATGAAATGCTTTCTTGGCATATACAATATGATGTCCTTCGCTAGCAATCAATGGGACATTGAGAAGAAGGAATACGAGCAGAAACAATAGAAGCAGGAGCCCTAGCCGCAGTACTAAACGCAGCAGTAGTACTACTGGTTGCAGTGGTCGTCGTCGTCTAGTAGTAGTAGTA